TGTTGAATTTTGTCATGATTTTTCTACATCTGTTGAAATGGTTATATGGGTTTCTTCTCTTATTCTCTTATTATCACAAATTATATGATATTTTGAATCTTAATAACCTAGCATTTGTGGCATAAACCCCACAAAGATCGAAGATATATTTGGTCAAAGATATTATGCTTTCTGCTACTTTTTACTTGCTAACATTTTGTTAAAGATTTTTTAATCTATGATCATGAGGAATATTTGTCTAAAATTTTCTTTTTTTGTAATAAACTTTGTCAGGTTTTGGCATTAGGATTATGCTAAACTCATAAGGGGTGTTGGCTAGTATTCCTTCATCCTCAGTTTTCTGAAACAGTTTTTGTAAAATTGATCTTATTTCTTCCTCAACAATGGAGCTACCTGTGCCTATGGTTGTGTGTGTGTGTGTGTGTGTGTGTGTGTGTGTGTGTGTGTGTGTGTATTACAAATTTAATTTCTTTGATAGCTATAGGATTATTTCAGTTTACTGTTCTTGTTATAGTTTTGGCAGGTTTTTCAAGGAGTTTGCCTATTTTGGCCTTATTGATTTTTCTTTATTGTTTTCTGCATCAGTGGTTTTAGCTCTTTATTTTTTATACTTTAGGTTTACTTACTTTTTTCTGCTTTCTTAACGTAGAAGCTTAGATCATTGATTTCACCTTATTTATTTATTTTTAATTGAAGTATCATTTTTTTAAGAATTTAAAACTATAAATTTCCCTGTAATTCCTGTTTTAGATATATCCCACTAATTTTGATATGTTTTCTTTTCAGTATCATTCAATTCAAAATGCTTTTTAATTTCCCTGTGGTTTATTCTTTTACTAATGGGTTACTTAAAAGTGTGTTGCATAATTTAGAAATATTTAGGGGAAGTCTATACATTTAATTTAACACTGTTGTGGTCAGTAATACTGTCTCATTTCAATTCTTGGAAATTTATAGTGACTTATTTTATGGCCAGTAATCATATGGCTCTTGATTAACCTAGTCAGTGTTTTGGTTGTTGATTTGAAGTCTAGTGAGAGCTTCAGGGGCATGTGTCCCCAAATCAATGTGTAGTAATAATGGAACCCAGTGTATATAGTATTGTCATTACTTATCTCTCGTACCTGACTCATTGATGTCTTCTACACTCAGGAGACAAGGCATTTTATGGCCAAATTATGAGAGTCCATGAGGATATTTTTTCCATATTGACTTCCCGTGTTTGCTTGAGCAGTAGATTTTGTGTAAATAAAAGTTATTTTTTCTATTGTTACCTCTTAATTCATCATAATTTTTTTCATACTCTTCAGCTTATTCAATGATAATAAAAAGGCTAATTTAATTATACCTACTGTACCAAGTAAGCACACAAGTCAGAGAGACCTGAGTTTAAGCCTACTTCCTCCCTTACTATTTGCATGACCTTGGTCAAGTTATTTAACTTCTCTAAGCTTTAATTTTCGTATGTGTAAATGGGAATGGTAATAGTACAGTTGTCCCTTGAATAACACATAGGTTAGAGGTGCTGATGACCCCTGTGCAGTCGAAAATCCATGTATAACTTTGAAGTCCCCCAAAACTTAACTAATAGACTGTTGACCAGAAGTCTTGCAGATAACATAAACCATCAATTAACACATATTTTGTATATATGTATTATATACTGTATTGTTACAATAAAGTAAGCTAGAGAAAATAAAATGTTATTAAGAAAATCCTAGGGAGGAAAAGGTACATTTACAGTACTGTACTGATCCCATATGTTTTACATCATCTGTTTGCAAGATGTATCATCTGTCACTACCTACATTAGTATTGTCTTATACAATACAAAACACTGTGTAGTGTATGTTACACATATTACTAACACTAGAGATAAATATGAAAAGATTCACTTTGCTGTACACCTGAAATTAACACAAGATTGTAAATCAGCTATCCTCCAACAAAATTTTTTTTTAAATATGAGAAATTTAAAGAAACATTAAAAAAAGAGAGGCTAATGTGGAAAAAGAAATTGTATTTATTTACAGGTATAACAATTCATACATTGATAACAAAGAGGCAGCAATATGATTGCTTCATTGTAACCCAGTATAATGATACGATTGTGTCAGGATAGCCTAGCCTATACACTGAGTGAATCATTGTACAATTTTTATGGCATATAGCAGTACAGGCATATTCATAATACAGTATTGTAAACATTGTAACATTTAAAAAAAACACTTATCTGTGATGATAGTCAGTTTCTCTAACTAGAAGGGGTGAGGGGAAATATGGCACATACTGAACGGTAATTAATTCTCTGAGAGCAAAGTTACATAAAACACTAAGAAAATTAACACATTAATTTTATATTAAATATCACTCAACTCATACCTATGTAAGGATAGACTGGTATCCACATATATTTTATGCATTCATGACATACGTAACCTTGTCTTAATCTTTTCAATATTTCTATGCTGTGTGATTCGTCTGTGAGGTTTTTCAAATTGTCGCAAATCTCCAAAAAGTTTTTCAATATATTTGTTGAAAAATATCCACGTATAAGTGGACCTGCACAGTGCAAACCTGTGTCGTGCAAGAGTCAATTGTACTCGCTAGAATTAAGTTAAAAATTGAATAAACTTTAAATTTAATAAAAATTTTAATTTAAGATACCACTCTATGCTGATTAGTAAATAGACCAGTCTTTCAGAGTAGTAGATCTTTTATACTATCTATTTTGTTGCTAAGGAAAAAAAGGGGGAGAAAGCTGCTCTTAAAACTGGTTACCTCTAGGATGCAGGAATGGAAGTGAGAAGAAATAGGGCAGAGTACTTTTGCTTTTCATCAGGAGTTTAAAGTATAGGACGATAAGCAGATGCTTTTATATTCTTCATGTGTAACTTTTTATTCTTAAAAAAAATAAAAATCTTTTAAAAAGTAATGAAACTGGGTCCTAGGTTTTAAGTTTAGGTATCCCAATTGGAAGAAGATTTTTAAATAGTTCTGAAATGTCAGAATTTGTTACTTATATTCATTTCCCTTCCCATTATCTTTATTCATATAAAGAATATTCATATTTCCCTTCCCATTATCTTTACCCATGTTAAATGCCCCTTAAGATAGATATTTTTTCGGGGCTTCCCTGGGTGCAGTGGTTAAGAATCCGCCTGCCAATGCAGGGGACACAGGTTTGAGCCCTGGTCTGGGAAGATCCCACATGCCGCAGAGCAGCTAAGCCCGTGCACCACAACTACTGAGCCCGTGCTCTAGAGTCCACGAGCCACAACTACTGAGCCCGCGTGCCACAACTACTGAAGCCCACATGCCTAGAGCCCATGCTCCACAACAAGAGAAGCCACCACGATGAGAAGCCCCCGTACCACAACGAAGAGTAGCCCCCGCTTGCGGCAACTAGAGAAAAGCTTGTGCACGGCAACAAAGGCCCAATGCAGCCAAATTAAATTAAATTAAATAAATAAATTTTAAAAAGAAGATATATATTTTTTTAGCAATAGAAAGATTTGAAATTTCATAAAATCAAAACTTTAAACACATAAATGAATTCCATGCTTTTATAGGCTCTTGGTGATATTTCTCATTCTAAAGTTTGTACTGTCAACCACTGAAGCACATGAATGGTTGACTGATTTCAATTAACCTTTTACTGTGACTTAATTTTCTTATCTATAAAATTGGGATAGATAATACTTTTCTTAATTCATTATTGGTATTGGGATTAAATGAAATAATTTACATGAATTTTGAAAACATGTTTGTTAAATGTAGGCTGTGATTAATTATATTCCAGGGATTTTCCTTGTGATTAATTAAACTTGTCATTATATAAGTCCATTAGAATTTTTAGTGTTCAGAAAGATTTGGGGGAAATTTTTAAGTCATTTCATCTCATAAAAAAAATGAGACTAATACTAAATGGTCAGGTTGCAATTCTTTTTCTTCAGAATTTTCAAGATGATAAAAATTATTAATTAATAAAATGAATTACTAAGGAAGTTTTGTTGGATAGGTTTAAAGTATATAATATTTTGAGAAACTTGATAAAAATTAACTACAAAACCTATTACAGATATTTCCAAAATAAAGTTTGCACATTTAGTACTTTATTAAATTGTAGAATCTGTTGTTGCGTTTGTCTTCATTATACTGGGAAAGCAGTAGAAATAAATATTAAGCTGTTTAATGGCATTTCATTATATGGTCTTAAGAATAAATACTTCATCAGTGTCTAGAAAATGTATATAACTTACTGTAACTTCATTATTATTAAAACTAAGTTTTCATTGTGACCTAGAGGCCAAAAGTAAATTAGAATTTTAGGAGATCTCTTAGTGATTTCAACTAATTATCAGACTGACTCAAAATCATCATACTGATTTATTTTTCAAGTTAGAAAAATACTTGCTTCATGACAGCTTATTTAATGTCTTTGTCTACTCTGCCATTTAGGCAGGATTTATTAGAATACAAACTATTAATATATCTGTTAAGGGTGCCAGTATGTGCTATCCTTTAAGTTTCTTGTGATACTTTCTTTTTTGCCTTAGTATTCACGTTACCAGCAAATTACCACACTAATTTAAGTAACTGGAATCATGTTGATTGTGAATTTAAATGTTACATTAAGATTAAAACTATTACTTAGAAAATCATTGGGAAATGATCTTGGTGTCTCTGAATATGAGGAAGAGGCTGTTACCCATTTTAATCTAAGTTTTAGAAGAGAAAGATATTTAAATAGCAGGATGATTTTATATTTAACATGAGGAGAATTCTCTGGATATTCAGAACTGTTATGAATGAAGTGGGTTGTAAAGAATTCTTTCTGGGTGTTTCTTCCTAAAAATATGCTCACCCACTTGCCTATGAGTTTAACTGCTGTGTTCACTGGTGGCATGTGCTTTGTGAACTCTTGTATAATTAAAAGGATTGACATTTAAAATTCTAACATTAGTACTTTTGGTGTGTTTTTTTTTCCTTTTCTTTAGGAGGAGCGTATTATTTAATATCTAGAAGTCTAGGGCCAGAATTTGGCGGTGCGATTGGCCTGATCTTCGCTTTTGCCAATGCTGTTGCAGTTGCTATGTATGTGGTTGGATTTGCCGAAACTGTGGTGGAGTTGCTTAAGGTAATTCACCTTTTTCCAGTCATTTGTTTCCCAAATCTTTATTGAGGGTTTATGTGCCACTTACCATATATGATGCTAGGAAGGCAGCAAGGAACATGAAACTCGCCTTTCAAGACATTTAGTGTGGGAGATAGACAAAAAAATTTATTATAGAGTGTCAGAAATGGCTAACTGTAGCGGGCCGTGGCAACACAAGGGGGATCACTTAAGTATACCATCCAGGAGTGGGGTGTCAGAGGAGTGTCAAGGCAGGGTTTTCCAAGGAAGGGAGTCTAGCCATTAGCAGGCAGATAGGAGAGGTAAAGTATGGTATGAGGGGAATAGGGAAGAAAAGGAAACAGACCTAGAAGGAGTAGAGTATGATATATTAAAAAAGAAAAAAGAAAAACGGAATATTTCAGTATGGCTGGAGCACTAAGTGGCAAGAGATGTAAGATGAGAGGGAGAAAAAAGGATCATGCCAGGAAGGGTTTTATTTGCTGTTAAATTTGGTTCTTACCTTGACTGGAGTTGGGGATCCATGATAATCAGATTTGGGGCCTAAAGAAATATGTGACCACAGTATAGAGAATGTATTTGAGGGATCACAACTGGAGATGGGGACCATTTAAAAGGTTGTTGTAGCTATCCTGAGAGGAGATGGTGGCTAATATTAAACCAGTGACCAGTGAGGCTGGAGAGATGTGGGTGTATTTGAGAGATTTTTAAAAAGTTGAGTAAGTGGACTTGATGAATGAGATGTGGGAAATTAGAGAAAGAGAAAGGAAGATTTAGATGGATGGTAATGCCATTTACTGTGAGAGAGAATGCAGAACATTTTCATTTTGGATGTCTAATTGGGTATATCTAAGTAGTATATCTAAGTAGAGCTGGCCAGAAAGTGGTTGATAATATTGCTCTGGAGTTGAGAAGAGAACTTGTTTGAAAAGAGTAATGAGTATGTGTGTAGTTAAAGCAGTACAAGTGAAATAGGATTCAGTATTATTAAATGAGAGGAGCCTTCAGTGACACCTATAGTTGTCATGTTAGGTTGTAACTGTTCATCTACTGTAGTACGTGGTATGTTAGGAAGTGTGACATCTCAAAGGACTGACTCTTGCATTGGCATTGACCTTAGCTGTGTAGGCCAAAGAGACAGAGCAAAGGAAGTAAGAAAGCAGTGTAATCATTAAGAATTCATATTCATTGTTTAATTTAGTATATGTTTTTGATGTCATTGATATTTAGCCACAAGTAATTTTGCTCTTAGAACGGATTGGTGTGATTTGGACAGCTGCGTGATAGTGTGTTCATCTCTTTTCCTTATGCAACATAAGAGACCATTAAAAGAATGAGCTCACTAACCACAATGAATGCAAAATATATTTCTGCTTTGTAACTTTAAAAAGTCCTATTAGTACTGCTTAGTCATATTATGATATTTTTCCTTGCTTGTTAGCAATTCTTTTTTATATTTGAGTCTGTATAAAATACAGCAGTGTTAATAATTTGATCATATTTTTGATGTTTTCAGCTGCTTGAATGACACCTTAATAGTAAACAGTAATTCATTCCTTTTCCCTAGGTCTCTCTATTCATTCCTTAAGTAGGCATTTATTCACCTTCTACATGTGAGGCACTGTGATAGTTCTAAAACTTTCAAAGAGAATTGAAGAATTTATCTGAACTAACTAATACTGCTCATCCTATTATTTTCTTTTTGTAGGAACATTCCATACTTATGATAGATGAAATCAATGATATCCGAATTATTGGAGCCATTACAGTGGTGATCCTTTTAGGTATCTCAGTAGCTGGAATGGAGTGGGAGGCAAAAGTAAGTAGTGATATCATTGGAACATCTGTAAATGTTGAATGTACAAACTTTTAGACCTTGTGTTTTAGGAATGTTCTAAGGTGTAGTAATATTTTCAGATTTTGAAGGTTCCTAAGTGGCCATTTTCAAAGAAGTTCACGTATAAGGTCATTTTCTATTTGGCGACGTAGTGAGGATTTGGAGATAACAGTCATTTTAAGAGGTAATCAGAGTATGTAGGAAAAAAAAAGAATTATAGGGTATGTCAGAGGGATTTAGTAAAGGTAATATAAGTACTGTGATTTTTTTTCCTGTATTTTTAAAGTTTGTGTTATTTGTTAGCAGGACATGCACATCTTTAATTCATTTCAGAAATATATGGCCTGATCCTACTTTTGCTATTCATTTTGGATAGTTCTTTAAAGATTGTTCATTTAACAAAAATTTATTAAGCACCTGCTTTGTGCTTGGCATTGTGTGAGGCACCAGGGAAACAAGACAGAAGCTTTCCCTCATGGAAGTTATATTGTAGTCGAACTGAATTAATGTATAGACATGATATATTTGATTTTGATTTTTCACGTTTAAAATTTCAGGCTCAGATTGTTCTTTTGGTGATTCTACTACTTGCTATTGCTGATTTCGTCATAGGAACATTTATCCCATTGGAGAGCAAGAAACCCAAAGGTTTCTTTGGTTATAAGTGTAAGTAAGAAAGATAGAATGTTTTTTTAAAGGTGCATATTATAGCATTCTAGTGTTAAATAAATTTAGTACATTTTACATAGTTTGTAATGTAATTGAGTTTGGTGTAGTGACTAACAGTAATTGACAGTCCAGTTTAGTTTGGTTCCTCTATGTTTGTTGTGTAATTGGAGTAAAAAAACACTTGTTTACATCTTTCATTTCTGATTACTAGCAACAAAAGGTGATAGAATGTAGAGAAATCAGTGCTATTGAGGAAAAGTGCTTTTGTTCTCTTCTCATTTGGAGAATTTGTTACTGAAATTGTAAGTTTTGTTCTAACATCACTTTTCATTCTTTTAGTTGTATTTAAACACAATAATCTAAAAGTGCCTACGACTGTGAAAGCAACTAGAAATATTAGTTTCTTGGTATAATTGCAACCTAAGTTTTTCTACGGTTTACATTATTAATTGTGTGAGAATTTTCCAGTTTTTATCTTCCATAACCTCTTTCAGTCTGCATCTAATTTTCACTACAGGTGAAATTTACTTGTCACTTATTGTTTCCTAAAGTGTCTTTCTGCATCTCCTCTTCTCCCCACTCCCTCCACTGAGCAGCCGTTCTGAACCTATCTCTGCAAGGTAGAATGAAAGCCAGAGAGAATTGTTGCAGTAGCATCAGAGGTGCTTATCACTTAGGGTAATAGGTGTGTCTGTCTTAAATGGACAAAAACTCCTTGTTTTGAAGCCTTAGAAGGAAAAGCCTAGCTTCACTTCTCCTGAGTTGTTTAGCCCAGAGCTACGCATACAGATTTGTGAAAAGATGCAGAATGTACAATAAATCAATGCACTTCTTCCTTCAGAAAGTCTTACTGGAAAAAAATTAGTTGACTAAATTTTGGATCCTAGAGACCTAGTTGATTTACCTTCTGGTGTAAGCTCCTTAATCTAATTGTCGACTGGTAACACCACACCGTCCTTGGAACATCTATGAGTCGCACTTGTTTGGCCTATGTCTGACACTGACTTGGCTGGGCAGTTTTCACATAAGAGTTGTTTCAAGGTTCTTACCTTAAGCAAGAACACCTGCCTGCAATAATTTTACCTACTCATCCTGAGTTGATAGTGTGATGTCTGTTCTGGTTACTAGCGCTTATGCCTACTTCTGAAACAAGGTACTAAATGTCTAATCATGATTTCCTGAATTAGGGGAAGAGGTGTCTTTTAGGCATGCCAGAAGTGAAGGTTAGTATTATTATATAATTAGATAATTAGATAATTTTCTCTATTTCGTTCTCTCATAAATTGTATTTGTGACATTTCTTCTAATTATGAATGTGTTTAAAAAATTTTTTTTTACATTATAGATTTTTGAACATTTGTTTTTGCCACCTTTATTTCTAAAATTATAGTAGATGGTTACTTCTAAAAATATTCCTAATATGTATTTTCTGTTTATGGCTTTAATTGATTTTAAAATATCTGTAAATATCTGCTAGGCCATATTTTTCATTTCCTTTTTTTCAGATCCATCCTTATCTAGTATAGTAATAATTTATATTGTATTCAAATAGTACATCTGGGCTTATCTCAATCTGAGGTAAATAAGTTTAAATATACTTTGGAATATGACTTTTCCTTTTTAGCAGTTGATACTGCTTAGCCTTCCTTTTATTAAGGTAGTGTCTGCAGTGAACAGGTTATGTTAATAAACTTGTCAGTTCAAACGACTACCTAATAGGGATATTCATTTTCTCCTTTTTCCTTTTTGATATGAGAAATATCTCCCTTTTGCCAAAGACCGATGCCTCTGCTGTGATCTAGATCCCATTTCCTTTACTTTCTCAAAGGCATTTATCCTTTGGTAATTTACTTGCTTCCCTGCATCAAAACTGTCAGTTCTGTATAAGCTTACATACTTGATCTAGTAATTCCCATCCTTGAAAATACTACCTCTGGTCTTTTATTCTCCTCCAGTTACCACCTTACTTTCCAGGCCCCTTTCACAGACAAATTTCTCAAATCCTTACCTCCCATTTATTGCTTGTTATTTCAAAAAAAATTGAAACTTACAGACAACTTGAAAAATTAATACAATAAATTCCCTGGAGGCTTCCCTGGTGGTTCAGTGGTTAAGAGTCTGCCTGACAATGTGGGGCACAGGGTTCGATCCCTGGTCCAGGAAGATCCCACATGCCGAAGAGCAACTAAACCTGTGCACCACAACTACTGAGCCAGCACTCTAGAGCCCGTAAGCCACAACTACTGAAGCCTGTGTGCCTAGAGCCCGTGCTCCACAACAAAAAGAAACCACCACAACGAGAAGCCCACGCACCACAATAAAGACTAGTCCCTCTTGCCGCAACTAGAGAGAGCCCACGTGCAGCAACGAAGACCCAACACAGCCAAAAAACAAATAAATAAAAATAAATAAATTTACAAAAAAAATAAATGAATTCCTTGCACCCTTTACCTACATTCACAAAAAAAATTCACACTTTTATGTTCTTTTTTGCCACATTAGTTTTATCACTCATATATCTAATTATTATTACTATGATTGCTAAACCTTTTGAGAGAAGTTGCAGAAATCATGACTTCTTACCTATAAATACTTAAGTGTGTATCTACTAAGGAAAAGGACAGTTCAGGAAGTTTAACTTTGGCATAATCTTACATATAACATATTTTTCATGTACAAATTTTTCCAACTCTTTCTTCCTTTCTTTTTTTTTTAAATTTGGTTGTGCCGGGTCTTAGTTGCAGCAGGCAGGCTCCTTAGTTGTGGCATGTGAACTCTTAGTTGCGGCATACATGTGGGATCTACCTCCCTGACCAGGGATCGAAACCGGGCCCTCTGCATTGGAAGCACAGTCTTAACCACTGCACCACCAAGGAAGTCCCTCCAACTGTTTCTACAAAGATTATGTAGAGACTTTTTTTTTCCTGTTCCAGGATCCAGTCCATGATCTTGTATTGCATTCACTTGTCATGTCTCTTCAATCTCCTTTTTTTAAAACTAGTTCTTTACATAATCTTCAGTCCCCTTTAATCTGAAACAGTGCCTTAGCCTTTTATTTTTTATTTATTTTTTTAACAGCTTTATTGGAGTATAATTGCGTTACAACGTTATGTTAGTTTCTGCTGTATAACAAAGTGAATCAGCTATATGCATACATATATCCCCATATCCCCTCCCTCTTGTGCCTCCCTCCCCACCTCCTAATCCCACCCTTCTAGGTGGTCACAAAGCACTGAGCTGATCTCCCTGTGCTATGCAGCTGCTTCACACTAGCTGTCTATTTTACATTTGGTAGTGTGTATATGTCCATGCTACTCTCTCACTTCATCCCAGCTTACCCATCCCCCTCCCTGTATCCTCAAGTCCATTCTCTACATCTTCATCTTTATTCCTGTCCTGCCCCTAGGTTCTTCAGAACCATTTTTTTTTTTAAGATTCCATATATATGTGTTAGCATACGGTACTTGTTTTTCTCACTCTGACTTACTTCACTCTGTATGACAGATTCTAGGTCCATCCACCTCACTACAAATAACTCAATTTCGTTTCTTTTTATGGCTGAATAATATTCCGTTGTATATATATGCCACATCTTCTTTATCCATTCATCTATCGATGGACACTTAGGTTGCTTCCATGTCCTGGCTGTTGTAAATAGAGCTGCAATGAACATTGTGGTACATGACTCTTTTTGAATCATGTTTTTCTCAGGGTATATGCCCAGTAGTGGGATTGCTGGGTCATATGGTAGTTCTATTTTTAGTTTTTTAAGGAACCTCCATACTGTTCTCCATAGTGGCTGTATCAATTTATATTCCCACCAACAGTGCAAGAGTGTTTCCTTTTCTCCACACCCTCTCCAGCATTTATTGTTTCTAGATTTTTTGATGATGGCCATTCTGACCAGTGTGACGTGATACCTCGTAGTTTTGATTTACATTTCTGCAATGATGAGTGATGTTACGTATCCTTTCATGTGTTTGTTGGCAATCTGTATATCTTCTTTGGAGAAATGTCTGTTTAGGTCTTCTGCCCATTTTTGGATTGGGTTGTTTGTTTTTTTGATATGGAGCTGCATGAGCTGCTTGTAAATTTTGGAGATTAATCCTTTGTCAGTTGCTTCGTTTGCAAATATTTTCTCCCATTCTGAGCGTTGTCTTTTCAGCTTGTTTATGGTTTCCTTTGCTGTGCAAAAGCTTTGAAGTTTCATTAGGTCCCATTTGTTTATTTTTGTTTTTATCTCTATTTCTCTAGGAGATAGGTGAAAAAGGATCTTGTTGTGATTTATGTCATAGAGTGTTCTGCCTATGTTTTCCTCTAAGAGTCTGATAGTGTCTGGCCTTACATTTCAGTCTTTAATCCTTTCTTTCTTTTTTTTTTTTTTTTTGCGGTATGTGGGCCTCTCACTGCTGTGACCTCTTCCGCTGTGGAGCCCAGGCTCCGGACCTGCAGGCCCAGTGGCCATGGCTCACAGACCCAGTTGCTCCGCAGCATGTGGGATCCTCCCGGACCGGGGCATGAACCCGCATCCCCCACATCGGCAGGCGGACTCTCAACCACTGCGCCACCAGGGAAGCCCCTTAATCCATTTTGAGTTTATTTTTGTGTATGGTTTTAGGGAGTATTCTAATTTCATTCTTTTACATGTAGCTGTCCAGTTTGCCCAGCACCACTTATTGAAGAGGCTGTCTTTTCTCCATTGAATATTCTTGCCTCCTTTTTCAAAAATAAGGTGACCATATGTGCGTGGGTTTATCTCTGGGCTTTCTATCCTGTTCCATTGATCTATATTTCTCTTTTTATGCCAGTACCATACTGTCTTGATTATTGTAGTTTTGTAGTATATTCTGAAGTCAGAGAGCCTGATTCCTCCAGCTCCATTTTTCTTTCTCAAGATTGCTTTGGCTGTTTGGGGTCTTCTGTGTTTCCATACAAATTGTGAAATTTTTTGTTCTAGTACTGAGAAAAATGCTATTGTTAGTTTGATAGGGATTGCA